TATTGAAATTAAAAATAGTAATTTTTTGTACTTATATAGACTGTAATGAATTATATATATTATTAACAACCGATGAAAAGCAATCTGTCTACACAGACCAGAACTAAAATAATTGAAAAAGTAATATACAAATATGTCATTGAAGACAATGATGAACACAATTTCATTAGAAATACTTAATGTTATAAATAATACACTAAAAATCATAATGTTTAGATAGCATTAAATCATTAGTCGGTTATTTTCCTTGTTACCGATATTTTCGGCCGTAATCCTAATATCTCACATTTGTTTGACCAACTAAGGGAACATCAGTTAGTTTCAGATCTAAAAACCCATCCATCTTTGCAAAATAAATTTCATAAGCGTAATCATAATTAAATATATGTGTCTATAAAGGAGTTACTTTAAACTTAATAAATAATGTGATTTAATAAAACTAGCTAAATAAAATGATATAGGTTATCAATTAATTAATATATAAAGCACAATCTGTATGCTAATCAGGTTCACATGGCTTATCGCTTTACAAAAAACAAATGTACAAGTATTGAGATATTTGTAATAGTATACGTGTAGCATCACACTGTAAGGTGGTGTAAAAAGTCATAAATATGTATATACTTAACACGTATAACTATCACTGTTATAATAAATATAAATCGATTTTAATGTACTTTATATATAAACGCGTACTTCATTTTTCTTTAAAATGTGTTTCATTAATATTGTTTGTTATAATGGTTTAAATAATTTTGAATATGATTAATTAGGACCAGTATATATCTTCTAAGGTGGCTGAAACTCGTGAGATTATTTGGATAACAGCCAAAAATATTGATAATATCAAGACTATCCAATTGAAAAATTAATGCATCGTAAATCATTATAGTTTTAGTTTCTCTAGTATGTTGATTTTTGACATTGTATACTTTGAATCAGTTTATTATATAGAATTAGTTTCATAAATGTGCAAGTTTAAGAATAAATTACCAATTGCGTTTTTTTTAAGATGATGTGTTTTCTTCTTAGCCATTGGGCAATTGTTATATTACTGATACATATCTCAAGAGTTCTTTCACACACAACACAAACACTCGATCATTTAGTTATTTCTTTTATTCTGAGAATTTACAAACACGTGTTTTATTTAGCATCAATTCTATAGCTACGAGATTATAATTTCAGAATTTCCAATTTAAAAACTAAGTATTTGTCATGCATCTTAAAGAAGTACGAAGGAGTGTAGTTCTTCTAAGGACAAATCGATCTGGAAAGTAACTAAGTTCTGAGACATTTTCGTCTACCTTCATCAATTTATAATTAAAAGACAATCTTCCAGCGTTTCGCTTTCCTTATGAAGACATAACGTACAGCCAAAGAGTTTTGTTAAGACTAGTTGTTAATAGAAACTAGAGGAAAATAACTCTATCACGCTGGAGTCATCACAAATCAATAAAACATTTTAATCACTTTTAGTTTCTAGTTCGTATTGATTAGTTTGAAAAAAAATGACCTTCGAAAATAGGGTTAAAATAGGTAGGTTATGCTTGTTATGAAAGACAGGCGGATGAGCACAATTAGTTGTCAGGAGAGATGACATAACCATGTTAGGATTTATTATGTTATTGTTGACACTTATAATTTTTGTCTTCACTCCTTTTAATTGCGCGATAGAATAACATAAATGCTTCTAGTTGTTTTACAATAGCATCAGTGGTGAAACTTTTGGATACATAAATAAATAGACAGATAACGAGTGGGTGGGTGGGGGAGAAGCTTCATAAAACAGCCGCTTTTGGGAAAGGCCTTGTGGACTGACATGGCTAAGGGAAAACCAATCAGCAGTGCTCCGCCACCATTGTGCTAAGATGGAAGATGGAGAAGAGGCCAACCACGGTTGACCCCGGTTTTTGACACTCCATTAATCTCAAAGCCGGCACACTAATGAATCACCTAGCTGTCAGAGAGAAAAGAGGACTGTGTAGTTGAAGGGTCAGACGAAATGACGTGCGTCAGTATATACAGTAGCACCAGTCGTTTACATATATGACATTGAGGCCTGTCTTATTTAACTTTTTTTTTTTAGGTGGAATATGAATAAGAAAAGAGAAACAAGAAACGAGGTAAAAAGTTAGCGTAACAGCAAAAGTTCAAGTGAGGTGAACTGCTCTGGATTCAAGTGCGTTTTATTTAGCGAGCCTATGGTGATTGCACGTGCTAGATGGCATGCACCAACATAAAGTTTGAGTTGAGCGTCAAAGACGACCTTTAGGGCTAAGTAACACATACCTAAACCTACCATGTGTGCTAATAGTTAGAAGTGAACTTATATACTCATTAAAGAATGGGGGTAATATATATCATTATTATCTATCTACGTCATGATATCACTGATGCAAAATAAGGCTTTTAAGGTGCAAGTACGTTTGTTGTGACATTATTATTTTAGTACAGTTGTTATTTATTAACACCATTATATTAGAATCACTAACAGCTTTTACAGTTTCCCTCATCGTGCATCTCTGATAAACCTTTCTCACTGGTCACATATTATAATTCCATATTTATTACACTGCACCGAAAAAAAAGTCGTCATATTATTAAATATTCGTACATAAATATGAACAGCTGACTGAACTGTTTTCAAATACACATAGAAACAGAATATAGAAAAGTTTCATTGCAGTGTAATAATTATATTTAAACTAAGTGGAGACGCACGCTAATTCGTAATTGTAAAATATTCTTCTTGGATTAAACTGAAAAAAATAGCAGTTAAGCCAACTATCCATGATAAATACTACAGTCTTTTTTACCACTTGTCTTTAATAATTAAAGGGATTAATTAAATAATTAATAATTGAGCATAATTTACAATTATGCCAAGTTAGCTGTCAGAAAACCTAGCGGACACGAGTTAATTTAAGAAACATCAACTACATAAATGTTAAGTGTCAGAAAAATCCAGGTTTATGTTAATCGCCAGGAAATTGAAAAGTGTTATCTGTACTAATCGTCTCTAATTTTGAACTAACAGGCTAGATGGAAGGGAGGCAATCTACAACACCCACAGCCAACTTTTGAGCTACTCTAATCGAATAGTGGGGTTTGACCGTTATATTTATAATGCATGCATGCCACAAAGTGCGGAGTGTGACGTTGCGGCAACGGGATATAAAAGCTGGATCTTCAGAATTACAGTTCGGCACGCAAACCACTTAGCCACGCCTGTCCCACACCGAATGGT